CAGCCTCGACCTGCTGGGCTCCGGCGATTCTTCCGCCTCAGCCTTCCAAGTAACTGGAACTACAGGCACTCGCTACCACTCCCGGCAAATTTTTTGATTTATGGTAGAGATGAGGTCTCGCTAAGTTGCCCAGGCAGGTCTTGAACCCGTGGGCTCATGCAATCCACTCACTTCAGCCTCCCAAAGTGCTGGGATTACAGGCTGAGCCACCGAGCCTGGCTAAGAACCACTCTTTAAGGTATAGCTTCCTAAAAATGAGGGCAGTTCTGCTATCTGCTTTATATTCCAGGTTTTTGAGTAAGATTTTGCTTGAAAAGATTTAGGTTTGATCGTTTGTCTAGATGACTATTATTCATATTAAGAGCTCATAGTAAACATATGAACAAATTATTAACTTCCACGTGGATGATTATTAAAAAATAAGGGCAGGGCAAGGCTTACCTAGTCTAAGAAGGGAAAACACATAACTTGAAACATTAGTCCGATGCTTTGAAAGGTATGTCATTGGGACCTCACTACAATGAAATACATCTTTCTGGGCCACTAAATTGGAGTGGTGGCAAGGCTAAGAAAATATCCTCTGGCAAAGATATGGTATTACCTACCTGAAGCTGATCCACTCTCCTACCCATCTTCTCATTTTCTGAGGACATCTTCTGGTTTTGTTCTTTCAGTCTGTAAAGGTGGAAATGACTGTGTGAAACACTCACTGATTCTGGGTCAGCTCCCCTACCCTTAACTGATTTAAGGCTGGCTTGGCCCTAAGCCTGCAGAATTATTTTGAAATATACTAGTCTCCACTGCAGTCCTAATTTTGGCTTCCTGACCCCAAGTAACTGGCAAGTATTCAATCCCTTAAGTTAATATTCGAATTCAGATTATTTTCTCCTGACTATTTGGATACACATTTTCTAACCTAGAATTCATTTTAAAAATTAAGTTAAATTTATTTATTTATTTTGAGTCAGAGTCTCCGTCACCCAAGCTGGAGTGCAGAGGCACAATCACAGCCACTATAGACCTGACCTACTGGGCTCAGATGATTCTTCCATCTCAGCCTCCTGAGTAACTGGAACTATAGGTGTGCGCCATCATGCCCAGCTAATTTTTTCTAATTTTTATTGTACAGATGAGGTCTCACCATGTTGCCCAGAGTGGTATCGAACCCCTGGGCTCAGGCAATCCTCTCACCTCTGCTTCCCAAAGTGCTGGGATTACAAGTATGACTCACCGAGCCCAGCTAGCCTAGAATCAAGGAGTTCATGGCTCAACATTGTTTTCCAAGAAATTCCAGAAGTCTAATCTGACTCTGTTTAAGGGTATCTGTGGTGCAGCAGTTCCTGCCATCAAGAATTAGGGGGCACACTCACTGATGCACCTCTGCCTCCCAGCAGTCCTTCTGCTCTTTCACTTTCTGTTCCAAGTTCTTGTTGATGTTCTGTAGGGTTTCTAGCTCCTCCTGTAGATGAAAACATCAAAGTGACATACCATTTTTTTTTTTTGAGTTGGAGTCTCACTCTGTCGCCCAGACTGGAGTGCAGTGGCCGCTCCCGCGATCCTTCCACTTCAGCCTTCCAAGTAGCCGGAATTACAGGCATGCGCTACCACGCCCGGCTGATTTTTTGATTTATTGTAGAGATGAGGTCTCGCTGCCCAGGCGGGTCTCGAACCCGCGGGCTCAGGCAATCCACTCACCTCAGCCTCCCAAAGGCGCAGGATTACAGGCTGAGCCACCGAGCCCGGCTGACAGACCATTTTGATGACACCTTTTAGTATCCCAGGCAGCCAACAACAAATACTTATTGAGCACTTACTATATGTTAAGCGGAGCATGACACAGCAGTGAATGAAATATCCAAGTACAAAGATTTTCCATATTAGTGTGTTTTTGATATGCTCTTTCCATATTTATTTATTTATTTTAAATTGGATTCTCACTCTGTCACCCAGACTGGAGTGCAATGGCACGATCACGGCTCACCGCAGCCTCAACCTCCTGGGCTCAGGCGATTCTTCTGCTTCAGTTTCCCAAGTAGTTGGGACTACAGGCGGTTGCCACCACATCCAGCTAGTTTTTTAATTTTTGTAGAGACGATTCACTATGATGTCTAAGTTGGTCTCAAACTCGTGGGCTCAAGGGATTCTACAGCCTCCCAAGTTACTGGGATTATAGGCATGAGTCGCCATACCCGGCCTTATTCCCACATTAAAAATATATCTACTTTAATTTTTCTTTCTACTGGAGCTTACATTTGTCCAATTCATTAAACACATATTTGCTGAGTGCTTATTACAGACACAGTTCTGGCACTGCAGACACAGCAGCAGATGAAACAGACAAAGTTGCTTTTCTCCTTTCTGTGCTACCCAGTAAATTTTCTTTTTTTCCAGTCAGAGTCTCATGCTGTCGCCCAAGCTGGAGTGCAGAGGCACACTCACAGTCACCACAGCCTCATCCTGCTGGGCTCAGATCCTTCCACCTCAGCCTTCCAAGTAGCTGGAACCACAGGCATGCACAACCACACCCTGCTGATTATTTTTTATTGTGGAGATGAGGTCTCGCCATGTTGCTCAGGTTGGTCTCGAACTCTTGAGCTCAGGCAATCCTTTCACCTCTGCCTACAAAGTGCTGGGATTACAGGTATGAGCCATTGTGCCCGGTTTATTCAATAAATTAATAAGAGCCACGTATATAATTTAAGTTTTTTATTTTATTTAGTTTTTAGGTTTTTTGAATATAATTTAACAATTTTAGTAGGTATGTAAAAAAGTATGTAAAAAAGTAAAAAGAAACAGCTGAAATTAATTTTAATAATATTATATTTAAGCCAGACACAGTGGCTCACGCCTGTAATCCTAGTACTTTGGGAGGTGAAGGCAGGAGGATTACCTGAGCTCAGGAGTTCAAGACCAGCCTAAGCAACATGGTGAGACTTCATCTCTACAATAAATCAAAAAGTCAGCTGGGCATGGTGGCACATGCCTGTGGTTCCAGCTACTTGAAAGGCTGAGGCAGAAGGATAACCTGAGCCCAGCAAGTCGTTAACCCATCATAGCTAAAATATAATTTCAACATATAAATAATTGAAAGGAAATATTTCACATTTGTATATCAAATATCTGAAATCTGGTGTAATTTTATTATTACAGCACATCTCAATACAGAAACATTTCAACTGTTCAATAGCCACATGTGGCTAGCGGCCAGCATACCAGTTCTAGACATTTGTTTTTTCTTTACCAATTTCATTCTACTCTGAAGTCAATCTCAATCATCAATATCAACTTCCTGCTTTTAGCTCCAAGCTTGTCAAATTTTTTGTTTATAGTCTTTAGAGAAAACTCTCCTCTTTAGCGTAGCTTCTAGCATTATCATCTCTTTATTTATCACCTGCTGATTGGAAAAGGAATTCAAAAGAGTAGAAGTAGAAAAGAGTCTGGAGAATCTACAACCTTGATTTAGTGCTAGCTTTTTTGTTCATTTAAGAGATGCTAGCCGGGCTTGGTGGCTCAGCCTGTAATCCCGCGCCATTGGGAGGCTGAGGTGAGTGGACTGCCTGAGCCCGCGGGTTCAAGACCCGCCTGGGCAGGCGAGACCTCATCTCTACAATAAAAAAAAATTAGCCGGGCGTGGTAGTGCGTGCCTATAATTCTGGCTATTCGGAAGGCTGAGGCAGAAGGACTGCCGGAGCCCAGCAGGTCGAGGCTGCGGTGGCCGGAAGTGGCCACTGCACTCCAGTCTGGGCGACAGAGTGAGACTCCAACTTAAAAAAAAAAAAAGAGAGAGATGCTCTGTTACTCAGGCTGGAGTGTAGTGGCTATTCACAGGCGTGATCCCTACTACCAATCATCACAGGAGTTTTTGATCTGCTCTCCTGTTACCATCCTGGGCTGGTTCATACCACCTTGGGCAACCTGGTGGTCCACCGTTTTCAGGAGGTCACCATATTGATGCCAAACTTAGTGTGGACACTCAACTGTCACAGCAAGCTATAGCCCAGAACTCCTGGGCTCAGGTGATCCTCCCGCCTTAGCCTCCTGAGTAGTTGAGACTACAAGTATGGGCCACCGTATCTGGCAATACTAATTCTTTTCCCTCTTTATGTCCAAATTTGAGCTAATCAAAGCAAATATTTTGACTGGGGGGGTGTCACACCTATAATCCCAGCTCTTTGGGAAGGAGGCAAGAGGACTGCTGAGCTAGGGTTTCGAGACCAGCCCGAGCAACATGGCAAGACCTTATCTCTACAATAAATCACAAAATTAGCCAAGCGTGGTAGTACTTGTCTGTGGTTCCAGCTACTTGGAAGACTGAGGCGGAAGGATCACCTGAGCCCAGCAGGTCAGGACCGTGGTAGCCGTGAGCATGCCACTGCACTCCAGTCTGGGTGACAGACTGAGACTCTGCCTCAACAAATAAAAAGCAAAAAGCAAAACAAAACAAATATTTCAAAATATAAAGAGGCCATGGGAAGAGGCAGTCAGTAAGTTTGAATCCAGGCTCCATCACCGATTACTTAAAACCCTCTGGGCCTCAGACTGCTCATTGGGATAATACAGTACCTATCTCGAAGATCTGCCATGAAGTTTAAATAAAATAATCCATCCATATAAAACTATTAACACTGTAGCTATTCTATGACACTGGTATATAAGGGGGTGAGATCACAAGCAAAATAGAAGATGGTGCTTTGGAAAGAGGCATCATCCAATTCTGATCGCCATGCTCGAGTGCTATCAGAATAGCACTCAGCCAACAGCAATACCTGCGTCCTCTGGAGCTCAGTCTGCATCTCTGAGTTCTGCTTCTGGAGGCTGACACAGCTGTCCTTCAGCTCCTGGTTTTCTCTGCAAAGCTCCTTGTTCTGCTGCTCAATCTCTTCCACTTCTCCCTATAAAACAACATTCCACAAACTATATTCAAGTCTCTCTAGGAGAAAATTCCCAAAGGCTGGGGAGGCAAGGGTCTGACTGATTCCCACTCACTACAGTGTCATCTGTGCTCCCTAAATGGGAGTAGCTTCTCAGCTGTACGTAAGGGTGTAATAGAGGTATGCCTGTATACCTGCAGCATTAAGCCTGCCATGACCAAGAAAGAGAAGAAAAATTAAGGCCATAAAAAGTTCAAAGGGCTGGGCACGGTGGCTCATGCCTGTAAACCTAGTACTTTGGTAAGTCGAGTTGGGAGGATCGCTTGAGTTCAGGAGTTCAAGACCAGCCTGGGCAACATAGCAAGACCCTGTCTCTAAAAAAAAATAAAAAGAAATAAAGAGAGATTGAAAAACATAAAAAGTGAAAAAGGGGAAAGATAGAAGTGTCTTCTCGCAGACACCTAGCACTGTTTGTCACTCCCAATGGATTTAGTTCCTTGAGGCCACAAACAGTGTTTTATTTTGTTTTGCTTTGTTTTTGAGACAGGGTCCTTCTCTGTCACCCAGGCTAGAGTACAGAGGGACAATCATAGCTCACTGCAGCCTTGAGCTATGATTGTGCCTCTGTACTCTAGCCTCACACCTCAGCCTCCCGAGTAGCTACAGGCCCACACCACCACACCCAGCTACAGGAACAGTGTTTTTTTATTTTTTGAGTTGGAGCCTTAGTCCATTGCCCAGGCTGGAGTGCAGTTACATGCTCATGGCCACCCCAGCGCCGACCTACTTGGCTCAGGTGATCCTTCTGCCTCAGACTTCCAAGTAGCCGGAACTACAGGCGTGCACTACCACGCCTGGCTAATTTTTTAATTTATTGTAGACACAAGGTCTTGCCAAGTTGCCCAGGCTGTTCTTGAACCCGTGGGCTCTGACAGTAACTTCACCTCGGCCTCCCAAAGTGCTGGGATTACAGGCTTGGCCACCGCGCCCAGCCAGGGACAGTGTTTTAATTGATTCTTCATTCATTCCCAGGGCCTACCACAGTGCTATATGAAAAGTAGGTATCCTGTTCAATGACTGAATAAGTAAAAGAATCTACTACTCATGTCCGACAGGCTCTGAGTTAGAACAGAAAGAGAACATAAAGAATATTTGGTGCTTCTCTCCTCAAAGGAGCTTATACATTTACTGCAGTGATAAGATGTACAGATGGCAAAAATTAAGTAACTGGAAAAGTTAAAAGAATAGCTGACTGTCAACTGACTACAGAAATTTTAGGGAACAGAGAAATCACTTATCGTTGTGAATCATGTTAACATTTCTAAGTCATTCCTGAGTGGGTCTGAGTAGGTACTATATACATTTTTCCCAAAATATTTTAGCTAGTTAATAAAGTCCTTCTAATTCAAATTCTACCCTATCCTATAATTAATTATTTTCTAATTTAACCTCTTTATTTTTTGAGTTGGTGTCTCACTCTGTCACCCAGGCTGGAGCGCAGTGGCACAGCCTTGACCTCCTGGGCTCAGGTGATCCTCCTGCCTCAGCCTCTTGAGAAGCTGGGACTACAAGCACATGTCATCACATCTGCCTGACTTTTTTTATTTTTGAAGAGACGAGGTCTCACTATGTTGCCCAAGCTGGTCTCGAACTCCTGGGCTCAAGTAATCCTCCCATCTCGGCACCCCAAAGTGCTGGGATTATAGACATAAGCTACCGCTATGACAGCAGGAAGCGACTGAAGTGAGATGCTTACAGACCTGAGTGGTAACAACCAAGATGTCCTCCTCATTTTCTGGACGGAATTGAAAAGGGATACTCGCTCCTCGAACCACACCATCCTGATCCACATAGCAGAACTGGTAATACTCATCGTCCTTGGGTAGGTAATAAGCTGAAAACACATGATTTTTAACCCAAAATAAGATCTAGTCAGAAAATTTAAACTCTGGAACTCTTTTTATCTGCCCCAGAAAGCTCAAGCTCAAGGAAATTAATTAGTCTTGGCTACTGTCTTCAACAGCTTTGATCCAGTATTTTTCTCACCTTTAAATTGAACTTCCTGCTGTTTGGCTGATTCGTCCTTTAGGTCAATGGGTAAAGTAACCCACATGAAGGTGTAATACTCACGAGTTGTCTTCCATCCCACCTGCAATGACATGGGGCTCTTGTTTAGTACCTGAAAGAGCTCAGGGGAAAATCCTTATTTGGGTATGTCTTCTTACAATGTACTCTTTATTTGCATATGTTGAAAATACAATAGAATGAGAATGAGTTCATTACGTTATGATACCAGGGCTCAAATCTTTTTTTTTTTTTTTCCACTATGACAACTATATACGGGAAAAGGTCTGATACAGCTAAAAATTGGGGTGCACATACACATTTCAAAATATTAGTCTTGGGAAGAACTGAAAACTGGCTCCTCAACACCCAAGACAAGAGCTCCAAAAATTATTTCTCCGAGACAGACATAGAGCTGAGAGTGATTGGGCGAAAGAGTTCTAGGATTGTGAACCTTGATCCTCTTGCAGTGGTGTTCTTGGGACTTCTAAATCAGACCTGCCCTCTGCATTAGTTTGACCTCAGTGTCCAATTCAGCCTTGTCACATGCCAACCTCATCATACCACTGCATTTAAAAAAATGCATTCTTTTGAATAATGTGTGTGTTGGGGGCAGAGAAACAAGAGGGGTCTTAGATTATGAGGCACCCATTAAGAGAGTACAGGTCTATTTAGTGTTTTTCTTAAACTCATTTGCGACCGCTGATGTACATCTATGCAATTCCAAATTCTGTTTCTGGTTGCCTCTGATACGAATTTACTTCATCGTGGAAGATTGTCTTTTTGGGTTTATAATCTGAATAAAAATACAAAGTACGGAATGCTAGTCAGAGTGGTGTCTGAGGCAAATACTGGATATATCTTTAACTTTCAGCTGTATTGTGAAAAAGGTGAAAATTTAGAAAAGACCATTTCAGATGTGCTTAATGACAGAAGTTTATGGCAACCAGCTTCAGATTTTTTTTATTTTCACCCACTCTCAGTATTAGGAAAGTAAAAAATCTGCTGATTGTGAATGTGTTAAATGCATGTTTAATGAAGGCTTTTTGGTGATAAAGATATTAACAACAATCTGGCAGTCGTAAAGGCCTCTTCTAGGTATTGAACACCATAAATCATAAGACATAAGGATGCAGTAAAACATGCCGCAGAAGAGAGCTGGCTAAGTGGAAAATCTTCTCACTAAACATGAAGGGGGTAAAAGATGGTTCAAATCTTATCTGGAAGATAAAAGCACACCAGAGAATAGGAAGGAAGCCATTGTGTCTTCAAGGGAACAACACTCAGCAAATGAGAAGCAAAATTACATTTCTTCCCATATTTTGGCCCTGCCTGAGCCCAGTGGGAAGAAAAAGAACTAAAAATAAATCCCATTTTTATATATTAAGGAATCAAAGCAGGGTTGAAAAGGCTACACCGAAAGCGCATCAGAACATACTAGGGCATGTTTTAGAGTCTCATTAATATACACCCCATTACTGTAAGCATCTCAGAGCCACTGCAGCCTGCGGTGGTCCAGGAAGCAGGAGTTTTATGGAGTCCTCATTCACATCCTGGAGTTTCTTAATGCAGTGTGACCGAAATATCCTCAGGAAGACCCAAGAATTACTGCTGCTTTGGAACAAGGACACCTGCAATTTCTGTCCTTGACTCCACCACTTGAATAGTCCTAGTTCCAGTCTGCCTTGGAAATATTTACTTATTTAATACTTTTTATTTTATTTTATTTTTTATTTTAAAGATGCGGGGTACAATTGAGGATTAGGTATACAAGCGGTCATCATACAGGTAAAGTTTGGGCCTCCCTTTGGCCCCCACTTTGTCTGGTTTGAGATCGGGTACTCTTATTGATGTTATGTGCCCCACTTCCTTCCACTGGTGATGTCCCGCTACTTCATTGAAAACACTTAAATGCCCAGGGCAAGGACAGTCTGGACACAGGATTATACAGCGAAGGAAGGAAAGCTGACTCCTACCTGCTTTAGGCTCCATCACTAGTGATAGCTTTCACTATATCAAGAAGATGCATGTATTAAAAACCATGTGCTGAGTGCCTACTTGGTGCCATGAACTATCGGTGTGAGGGATGATGAGAACTTGAAGAAAAGTCTGATCACAGTTACACTGAAAGAATACTGGGGAGAGCTTTAGAAGTGAGATATGAAGGACAAAACTTTACAGTCAACTCTTCTTTAATTTACCATTTATTGTTCAAAGGAATTCAGCAGAGTGGAGGAAAAAAAGCAGAGGTGTGGGAGCCAAACAAACTTACTTCACCACCTACTCACTGTGAGGCTTTGGGAAACTCACCATCCCTCAAGGATATTCACTTTACCCATCTAGTACACACCTCTGGGGGCTACTGTGCTGTGAGGATTACATTAGAAAACACACATGCACACAAACAACCTCAGCAAAGGCCTAGCACACACTATATCCTCAGGGCATGTGTTCAGGTCAATGGCTTTATGGACAATGAACAATAGAAGCCCTTCTTGGAATAACCATTCTTTCTTTTTTTTTTTTTGAGTTGGAGTCTCACTATGTTGCCCAGGCTGGAG